CATCCCCAGCACTCACACCAGGAGTGAGCTGTTTTAGTTTCATAACCAACAGCTGGAACACCCTAAAGTCTTCTCATGCTACAGGACCCAGGACTCCTCCAGGTAACTCTGGACTCACGTGGCACTTTCATTGTATGGTGTCTGATCAACCCATTGCCACTGTCGGTGACCTGCATCCGAAAGCCCAATAAAATAAGCAGCTTTGGGATTCAGGATCTTGGTGATGAAATCCTAAGAGGAAAGAAAGATACAGCATTCAGGCTGGATGGAGTGATTCTTTTTCTGTTATAGAATTTTTATAAGATCTTTTGAAAATAATTTTAACTATACAAAATTATAGGACCAATATGATGCACCTATGGAAATACATAATAATCAAATCTCAGGTCATATCTATAGGCCCTTAAATAGTTTTCAAATTTTAGATTAATGCATATTAATTATACATTTTAGAGGTACACTGTTATATTTTGACTGACTTATTTCTGGTCACACACAGACGAGAAGACAAAGAAAGGATCAAGGAATAGAAGAGCCACCCCCACCCCAGGAGTGCCATCTTCTCTGGCTGACCAGGACACAAAGTCATCACTCAGAGGCCTGATTTCCATGACATTGGAAACAATCTCTGTCCATGATCATAATGAATTCTCATCTCAGACTCACTCCCCTCTTTTCTTCCCCAACACCATTCCTAAAAGTTGTCCATGAGAGAATTTAGCAGATTTAAGCATTCTCCATTCACAACCTCAGATATTTCATTTCTGATGGCTGGCTGTGACTCTCCTGATTTGATTCTCTTTCCCTAGTCACCTCTGCGCCCTCCTCTGTTATGCAGTGGGTACTACAGGAAGCATTAGAGTGCTGAAATCACACACTGCTCTTTCCAACAGAAACATTTCATCCTTCCCTCCACCCTCAGGCATTGCATTTCTGTTGCCATGGTTCCTTGTGAGTTGTTCAGCTTCACTGAAGCAGGGACAAGGTGTAGAATGCCAAGGCTGAAGCAGCTTCCTGATGGAAAGCCTTCTGCCACATCAGCAACACCCATGTCAACAAAACTCCCTCCTAGTAAAAAGAGGCAGAGAGCAGGCCAGGCCCAGGCCCCACTCTCTCCCAGGATGCACCTGCTCTTCCTGGTTGTGGATCACCATCAGATGAGCACCCATGCTGGAGCACTTCTCTTCACTCCCACTCCAAGATGCTGAGCCAGTCGCAGTGAAGTAGCAGTGGGAACTAAATGGCTTCCAATCCTTTGGGCAACAGCTCCAGACTTTGTCTTTGGAGGAAGAAGGAAATGTAAGTGCAATGTCATAAAGTCACTTTAAAATCTGCTTGATGTGGAGACCACATGGAAGCTGGGACTCTCCACTTCTCCAGATAGAACATGAACCCCTCCCAATCAGATGCCAATCAACCCCGGTCTACCTCTATCAACATCAACATCAACATCAAAGCCCCTTTGTCCTACTGGGGTGCTGTCAGGAAAACAAAGTGTAAGGAAACTCGGACCCTGAGGACATAATGCTATACAGACTGTTCTCCAAAGAATAGAACTCATCAGACCAAGAACCAGAAAGTTCTCATATTGCATAAATATATACATATTGATACATGAAAACAATAGATGCCATTAACCAATGCATCAAAATTTCAGAGTTAGCAGACAGATATTTTTAATTTATGATGATAAAAGTGGTAGTCAATATATTACAACAAGCAAGATAACAAAAGTATAGGTTTATCAAAAAACTTTACAATACCCATGATAGATGTTTCAAGAAGAAAATAAAAACAACCTGGAAACAAGTTTTTAAAATATGTAAATCATCAACAAAGAAAGATGTAAAGAGCTGAATGGAAATTTTATATCTTAAAAAATATATTTTAAGTATTCCAGGGTGTTAATTGTTTCCTGAGGCAACAGAGATATCAGTGAACCCTCAAGAGTTGCTGGGAGTGGTGGGTGTCAGATTGAAATGAAACAGAAATATAAAGTCTCATGTAAAGATCCTAAATGTCTACAGATGAATGCAATGCTCATAGAAATTCCAAGATTCTTCATAAGATAAATAGACAAAACAATCTCAAAAATCATATAGAAAGCACACGCGCATGCACGTACACACACACACACACACACACACACACACACTCACACTCACACACGAAAAAAAAACCTGGATAGCCAAAGCAACCCTGAAGGAAAAAGAATGATGTTGGAGGTATCACCAGACCTGACTTCAGGCTACAATATAGAGCATGGTACCACAACAAAAGTACACACATTGATCAAGGAACACAAAAGAGAACCACAAACATGAACCCACACAGCTACAGCCACCGGACTTTTCACTAGAAATACATATCAGAGGAAGACAGGCTCTTCAACAAACTGTGCTGAGAAAACTAGGTACCGATGTGCAGAAGAATGAATCTAAATCCATAGCCATTCTGCGTGAAAATTGACTTCAAAACAGACTCTAAAAGGATGAAACACCTTAATGTGAGGCCTGCAACCCTAAAATTGTTACAAGAAAAAAATAAAGACAACATTCAAGATTTAGGCATAGGGAAATACTCCCTGAATAAGACTGCAGGCTTCTTCACAGCAAAGGATACTGTGAGTGAAGAGAGAGAGATCTGCTGAGAAATACAGGAATCCCAGACAAGCTGAGAAAGGCAGGAACCCAGACAAGCTCAAATGGTCTAGGGAAACGTGTTTTCCAAATGTGTCTCTTGGCAAAGACAATAAACAACTGTGTCTATTTAGAGCTGGAAGGTGTATTCCAAAGACATCTCAGTTACAGATGTCAAAGACAATCAAGAATCTTTGCTTACTCAGAGCCAAATTGATGAATAGCCTTAAGTACTCTTCTCTCTCTTTCCTAAATCTAAGTAATACACATTCACCAGTCCCCACTCCAGCTTAGTTTATGAGAAAAACAAATTCTCTATTCAAATCTAGAGTAAATTACACTTTGTAGATACTGTAACTGAGAATGCAACAAGATCATCACAAACACACACACACACACACACACACACACACACACACACGAAAACACTTGAAGGACTACGGAAATGGCTCAGTGGTTAGAGTGTGTACTGCTCTCACAGAGGACTGGAGTTCAGTTCCCAACACCCACAACCTGTACTCACAACCACATCTAGGGATCTGACACTCTCGTCTGCCTCTGCAGGCAATGTACTCATGTACACAAACCCACACACAAGCATGTGCATATATACGTATATTAATTAAAAATGAAATCCTAAACACACACCATTGAGCATGACTCCCTGGAGATACTCACATTCTTGGTATCAGATTTGCTTTATTCTTTTTGGAAGTCTTTTCTGTATCTAATAAAATTCTACTCAGTCCAATATTGCCTCTCCCTCCCTGAAACTCTGCTTTATTGACACTAGGGGGCACACATCCCAATCATGCCTGATGAGAGACCTCTAAAAAGGACTTCACAGGCAGCTGGTACTGTGTGGTAGGAAGTCCTGTCCATATAGTGCCCATTGCTGATGGAGCTACCTGAGAATCTTGTTGGAAATGCTGGTTTTAGACACATTAAGTTTTACCTTTCAAGAGTGGATGCTGTTTTGTACACCCCAACTCAGTGTAATTCAGTTCTTTTGTAATTGCTTTTTCATCAAGAACCTCAGAATGTTTTTTAAACATAGCTGTAAAACAGAATAAAAAACAATTCATTCTTCTGGTAGTGCTAACATTTGACTCTTTACTTTTACTTTCTTACATTCTTTGTAGAAACAAAACCTATATGTTTCCAATTACCTGAGTCGTTAGAGCCTGCCTGGGAAAGATTCTCCATCACCACAGAGTGTGGAGGCTGTGGTCCTAACACTTGGGAATTAGAATGAGGAAAAATGGAAGGTTCAGGTACCTGAACTATACAAGTTAGTATATCTAGTTCGTTGGTCTAGCTAGCTAGTTACTTTAGTTTAGTTGGCTGTTGGTTAACTTAGTTAGTTAGTTAGTTAGTTAGTTAGTTAGTTAGTTAGTTCATGGCTACCTTGGGCTATATAAGACCTTACCACAAAGAGAGATACTTTTCCAATCCCTCAAAGCCAGCATTTCCCTGCTCCTAGTGATTTATGACCACAGATATCTTCAGGAAGAGCTGGAAGGACAGGACAGAACCATGACCCTGGGCACTCTTCAAAATTTCATGGAGGACACACTGAAGACTACATCTTAAGTGATAAGTTCTATTAAGTAGGTGTGAACCCCAGGAATAGTGAGGGAGAAATGAACTAATTCAGAGCAGTTCCAGGTTACCTGAGCAGGGAGGTTATAAAAGCCCAACATTGATCAAAAGGACATGGTTTTCGTAATCTTTTTCCTGTATTTCCCTCCCCCCAGCTAGTTCTGACTTCTCAGGGTCCCCACACATTCACAGAGTTCCTAACTTAAAACTAACAAACCTTTCCTCTAGAAATGGAATTTTCTTTCTTCTCTTCTTCATCTCCCACTTGTTCCTGGAGTCACTAGATTCTGGCTTTCGCTTCTGCCAATTTACCAAACATTACTGAAGTGGATGTCAATGGCTCCTCATGTCCACTGATCAGTCATCTTCCTGTGGGACTTCTCACATCACCCTGCCCACTTCTCTTCCTCCTTAACTGTTGGGAGACAGTGGCTCCCTCTGGTTTTGCCTGGTCCTGTTTGCTGCTGTTTTCTGTGCTCTTTCCTACCTGTTTCCTTCTACACCCACCTCTCTTAAAATAGAACTTAGCATCCAGTTCCTTCTGTATCTCTCTTTCTCCTCCAAATTCCTCTTCTTTAGTGATATTCATTGTCCTGGGTTGTTGGGGTGGGGGTGGGGAGTAGAAGTGGTTGTTTTTTTAGTCTATTTTGTTATCTGCTAAAAAGATCTTCTAAAATGTATTCCTCTATATTAAACATGTTAAGATGCATCCAACTAAACTGTGCAACTGAGATTTTGGTGAATATAATCCAAATTTAAATCATCATATTCCATCTCAAACCTGCTGCTCATCTTCTTCCTCTTCAAATAACTTCATGACTGCTGACTTTATGAAATAGAATATTAAACTTGTAACTCACTCCTCTGTTTCCCCTATTTTCAGTTATCAATATTGACCGAAATGTCACCTCCTTTTTGTCCAACTTCTCTCCTCTCCTGTACATCACTTGCATGATCTTTGGATCAAGCCCCTAGTACTGCTCAAACGGATTCTGAATTAGTGTCCTAATTTCTGCTTCCCTTCGTTTTCACACTCCGTAAGAGCACACTTCTCTAAGTCAGTTTTAATTTTATCATGTCCTGCTTCAGATTTTTCAAGGTATCTCCATAACAGTTGCACATTGAAAAACTGGACACACTTCTCACCTTCCCTGTATGAATACCCACTTGGACTATGCCTTTGCAGTTCCCTACAAAGAAACTGGTCTAATCTACATCACCTCATCTGAGCTGCCTTTAAGAGTGCTTTGGCCACTAAAACACACAAAGGCAAATGTGTGTGCACTCCATGTTGGGCTTATCTTACTGTCACCATCCATCCTGAAAGTCTGAAGTTGCCATGGGAAGCTGGGTTGTCTGTTACTGATGTATGACTCCATGAGAATGAGTAAGTTCACCTAGGACCATGGGAATCTCCAAGAGAGATCAGCCTCGCCAAAGCCACCAAGCAAGAATTAAATAAATATTTCAATTAACCTACTAAATTTCAAGTTGGTTAGTGGTTGAGCAATAGCTACTGAATAAAATAACATTAAGAGGGGATGGTAAGATGGTATGCACGATTTTGTGATCTGAGTCCAGTTTTGTCTGCCCCTACAGTTTCATGCTTAGTTCTCCATTGTTGGAGCCCATGCAGATTTCCAAGGGCTTTACCCAGCAGGTCTGCATAAAGAGGATGATTGGATCACGGAACTGAGTACCAGGTGTCTGAGATGGTCTGCCCTGGCCATGCTGGAGGTCGGTCTTTTGCTCCATCCCTTCGTATCCCTTTGACACAGACAGTCAGGGCGTGATGGATTAGGATCCAGGCCCTCTCAAGTCTACCCTGTATTGTCTATCTTTTTCTCTCCCCTCTATCCTTCTATCTAATATTTTCTGCTGCTTCTACTCAAGAGTACTCTGGGGAAATGTGGGGTGTGATGACCCCCACAGATGGCAACAGTGAACAGAAACTAAGACATAAAGAAAAAAATAAAAATATTTTCTGTCCCCTCTATCCTTCTGTCTAATATTCCCTGCTGCTTCTACTCCAGAGCACTTGGGGAAAGTAGAAGTTTAGAGGCTGCCAGTAAGCAGTTGGTCTGATGCACTTTTGTAGTGAAAAAAATAAAATTAAATGAGGCGGGGGTTTTATCCTCAGGGAAAAAAAAGGAAGGAGTCCGAATATAAGGCTGCAGCATAGAATCTTCTGTATCAAGATTTCTCTCCTTCTGTCTCTCTCTTAATTTACCTATGAAAAATAAGGAAAGTAGGAAATAGAAATATAGTGTAGGAGCCAGAGGTGAGTGACTCTGTTCACACCCAGGGAGGCCTGCCCCTAGGACCCAACCCTGGGCCCCAGCTGTTTCCCGAGAACACCCACCCAAATCGGCCCCAGTGGGCAGTCAGCTGGCAGGGCCACTGCAGAAAGGTTCCCCTTCTCCAAGACCCCCCAGCGGACCCTGCAATCTACACACCCTGCCCCCATAACCATCCGCCCCAGACACCCGCCACTTCCTGAGGCTTGGAAACAAACCCCCAGCTATCATGCGGACCAGAGAGAGAGCTCTTGTTGGACAAAGAGCTGTCTTTGGACCAAGAGTAACCTCAGCAAACAGGGAATCTGCCAGCCCTCCTTAGACCAAGAGTGGCTTTCTGAATAGTAGAATCTGCCACATCTTATTGCACCAAGAGAGGCTTCCTGAAACACAGACTCTGTCAGCTCTGACTGAAGCAAGAGCCCTGATAAGAACAAATCCGTAAGTCACAGAATCAACTAGCTTGGGTTGACCCAGGAACAGCTCCCTGAGACACAGAAGCTGCCTGCTCCAATTAGACCAAGAGCTAAGATTAGACCCAGAAGGGCCCCCTGAGACACAGACACAACAAGCACAGAGTGGACCAACAGCAAATAGCTCAAACACAGGCACCTCTTATACCTATTAGAAGAGGACATGGGCAGATGTCAAGGCAGAAGTACACACAACAACATAAAGAGCAATACTGCATCACCAGAACCTAGCCCGCCTCCAACAGCAAGACATGAACATCACAAGGTAGAAGAAGCAAAAAAGAAAAGTGACTTTAAGAATAGCATCATGAAGATGCTAGAGGCCTTTCAAGAAAAAATGAAAAATGAAATTGAGGAAAAGATGAACAAAAAAGTGGAGGATATCAATAAAGAAATTGAGAAAAGGTCAAACAAAAAATTGGAAGAAATCTATAAAGAGAGGAAAAAACAAATAAAAAAATTGGAAGAAAGTAATAAATCTCTTAAAGAAATTCATGAAAAAGCAATTAAACAGGTGAGGGAAACAGTTCAAGACATGAAAAGGGAAATACAAACAATGAAGAAGACACAGAGGGAATGCTGGAAATAGAAAATCTGAGTAAATGAACAGAAAACACAGATGCAAGCATAACCAACAGAATACAAGACATGGAAGAGAGGATCTCTGCTGTAGAGGATA